ACTAAACAACTGATAGAGCCTGCATGAATTCGCGGGTATCTTTATATCTCTATAAATGTATCTACAAATATACTACACACACACACAGTATACTCGTACTTCATAAATTATTATTTTGCTGGCGCTTCATATGCTCGCCATGTTTACTAAGTGAATGATAAGCCTTTTATCAATTGAGTTGTTTGAACACTGAAGAAACTGTGGGCATTCAGCGGATTTCATCGGATTTCATCGGATTTCAGCAAAATTCGGAATAATACAATTTGAGCGCAGTTGAGCGTGCAAGCAACAAACAATTTTCAAACTACATTTCATTGACAAATTGCATTAGAGATATTAACTTTCATTGGTAGTATATACGGCCTTGTAACTATAAATCAATCCAGAGAGTTTTTAAATACGGATTAACGGATTAAATTTGGCAAGCTAAAAGTAATAATAGATTATATTGAACTAAAAGATGTCTTAATATAGATATGGATACACATCAATTAAGAAGTTCTCTTGGTTATGGTATTCTGTTCAATTTTCTGGGATAATGAATTGTCTTCCAATTATATATAGATCTGTGTACAACATCGACCAACGAGTTTCTTGGAATTTATTCAAAAAATAAAGAAAAAAAGCTCAATATTGTACATCGATATTATCTCCTACAAAATACTCTCCATTGACTGTAACACGCTAATACCAACAGTGGATCCAATCCTCGAAACATTTTTAATAGACGGATTTTGGTATATCATCAAAATTGTCTGCGATTTTTTTATTATCTCTCATAACATTATTTTATATTATCATAATATAGAATTTAGAAGCATTCTCCGAAGTGGGGGCCAAATGAGGTGACTGTTTGTTCAATAATATTTACACCAATCTTTGTAAAAACTCATCAATAAGGATGGCATTATGCAAAGCTACGCTGATGGCTTCCATTTTAAAAAATATAAAAATATCGAAAACTCATGCTAAAGTAAATGTACTCACAACAACGTAACCTTGACAATAATCAATCTAAGACGCTTAAGTTTAAAGGGAAAGTTTATGACAGATGTGATCAGCTATGTGTGACAGCGTCATCTGGTAGTAATTCTTGAGAGCGTCAGCTGATGGTATTTCCTGAAACTCATCAAATCCGATTTGACTAAAATTGATCTCTTAAGTTTCTCTAATAAAATAAAAAGACCCACATCTCTGAAAAAAATCCGGATCTCGAGAATTTGTAATTCACACTAATCTTATAGTGGCGATATACCTTTGACCTTAGAAAGATGTTCATGAAAACGCGCTAAATTATCTACATTTTCATTCCCTTTAATTTTCCTATGACCGGAAATATATATGAAAGTAATGTTGGTGAGTGTATTCATCCCCTCGTCAATTTAGATGATCATTTTAGAATATAGAAATTATTTAAATAACCTTCATACGAAATTTATTCCGCTCTCACGATGCACGTACCTACCAATGTTTAAGTACATGTATTCACTCCTAATTTTATTTATTTTTCTTTATCAATATCAATTTACATTTGTCTTGTATTCTTCTTTGTTGCTTCAATATGATCTTCACATCTTCCTTTTTCATTTCCATCAGTACCTACTTACTACCCTAGCTAGTGCCCCATTTGTTGAAAGGGTACATTTGGTTCGACTTTTCAGTAAACAATGAAATTCCAGCAGGGGTTGGGAGCGCCAAAACCCAACTACAAGACCACATCTAAAATCTTGTTTAACAACTAACTTTCTTCTTTTTGTACAAAGCTTAACTAATCTATTTTATGCCACAGAAAATCTTCTCAAAATTTTGATATGTATAGTATAGTTTTTTATTTTGTTTTCTTTTTTGAACTTCTGTTCTTATTATAATAATCGTTCAGATATTTCACTCAACTGTCTTTGCTCTTATCAGAACCGTTTATATTCCAACTATCTGAATCTTATTTTGTTAAGTCATGTTAATATTAAAACATAGTTTAGTATGAACTAAATGCATTAGTGGAAGTAAGACAATTTTTGATACTAAAATAAGATTCAGTAAACTTCATACAGTAGACTTCGAAAATCGAAACTGATTGAAGCAAATACAAACCACACAGCATTTAATATAGAGACAAGAGAGATGCAGATAGATTGCCTATCACCAATTAAATGCATATCTGTGCTACGTGTAAACAATAACTCAACTCTAAATGTATCTCAGCAGATATTTTTATTAACAAAATATTTATTATTTATTGATTTAATTTTATTAATTTTTATTTCATCATTTCGCTTTATGTGCACACACGTCTCTCGTTATCTAAAACTCACTATGATTTACTTAGTCTATTTACTTAGACCTCAGCATAGAATGATTTCGTAGATTTGGTGGGTGTGTATTTCACTTCAAAGCTATTGAGATTTTTATCTTTGGTCTGTTTTGTTTGAATTTTATTCTGAATTATATTTATTTTTATATTAGATTGTATATTTACACAACACCTCAAAAATTTTCTTAATCTCAGTGCTTAACACTTGATAAGGATATCAGCACCACTAATATTTCATAGAAGCAACAACAACAATTTAAATATTATTTTTTATTTATTTTTGTTTATTTAGTGACAATTTTAATAATTTTAATTTTATTTTTAAATAATTTAATTTCACTTTTTTTCATTTTGTAATAAATTATGTTTGTACTTGTTGTGAAATATTTTTTTTTGTTATAAACGTTTTTTGTTTTAATATAAGTAATATGTAATTAATTATTTTGCTTATTTAATTTTTGTTAATGAACACTTAATATAATCTCTTATTTTATAATCTTCATTTCAGTCAGTCACTTTCACTTTAATATTGTTTTACTTCTCTATAAAACCACCTTCGAAATCCTTTCTAACACATCTATTCTTCCGTTTCTTTTAAAAGTGAATAATTATAATCATTAATTTTGTGATCTTCAATTCGTCTGAAAACTAATTTAAGAAAGTCTGATTAAACAATCCGTTTCGTAGTAATTGTGGAATGACGAATTTTGATTAGGAATTATTTCTGGACCAATAAAAATTTATATAAATTACTTACAGTCTGTGAGCTTTCACGTGTAATTTCAGTGAAATTTATCTCACCATCCTCGTGCATTCTAGCATTCTAGCTACTAATTGATCATTACGAATATCTCTAGATTTCTTTCCATTTCGTACTTTAATTGTAATAATTTTTTTTATTTTACTATGTTTTCTTTTTATTTTTTATTTAAATAAAGCTTTCTCCGTACATTTAAATTATGGGCTTTACACTTATATCTCTGGGCTTATTGATGTTTCCGGTATGAATATCTCAAAGTTGAGTTATGAATTTTCATTTTTATTTTTTTAGATTTTTAAGATATTTTAAATGCTAAATTCGCTTGATAGTGATAATTACTTTGGGGTAGTTAATGTTTTATTAGTCTCAGTATTCTTATAAAAAAAAAATTCTAAATTGTTTGTTAGACACGTTTATATTTTTATGAGTTAATTTTATTTGATTAAATATATTTTATACATGAAGTATATTCCTTTGCAAACGTAAACATTGGTACACGTAATCGCTAGATTATATGAACACTCTTTCTTCAGATATCGTATCCCAAAATATTAACAAATTCAGTGATCAAGTTTTTGGAATAATGGATGTATTATTAAATAAAATAACCAGTTGTTACCATAAATAATTGTTGTGGTTTCAACGAAAACTTGAACCGAGAGTTACCATCACTCGATATCATATAGACTTTGAAGATACAATTTTAAACCATTAAAACAAAAACACATTGTATTATATTATATATCTATCATATCGTATTAGAAAAAAAATTGATATGGAAAAAGTGCATAGTTCACAATAAGTTTGGGTTCGGAGGTGCTGTTATCAATTGACTAGATGTCATGCGAAGAAGAGTTGCAGTAAGTAAGGAAGTAAGAGACTCTATTCTGATTAGACTTTAACAAAACTTTTATATTTGAAAGTCTTTTAGGAAAAAGTCTTTTTATTTTAGGAAAAAGGTAAGTGTGTGTGTGTAGGCTGAATCAAAAGTGAAGTACATGCGGGATTATACATGATAAGTAATATTTTCGATAAGTAACCTAAGCTCAACTTAGATATTCCCTACTGAAATAATTCATCGACTGAGAACCGAGTTGTGATAAAGACGAAATCACAAAAAAGTAACTGTATAGATAAGGATAACTAATAGCTACCACAAATATTCGATTTTAATAATATTTTTCAGTTATAATAATTATCGATGTATTTAATACATGAAAGCAGGCGTCGACGATTTCGGTAAGGTCCCGTTTCTTCTAATTGAGCAGCATAGTAGACTCTTGACTAAGCAAATATCTGAAATAAGAAACTGATTCTTCTTTCATCCTTCAAAATCAAATCCTGGATATATATATAATATCCTAGATTTCGAAAACATAACCTATATTTTTCCTTAAAAATGAAGTTATTTGGTGCAATCATTTCTTAACTCTGGTGCCACAGCTTAGCTTTCTGTTCAATAAAACTTTATTATATGTAATTATCACAAAATATTTGTATATAATTAGTTCTTGAACAAAATTTTAATTGATTTCTTAATATCAATATGAAATTCTTAACCAAAACTACTTTACATTTTTTAATTTAAAGCTCTAGTAATTATTAACTTAGTATGTTAATTATAACAAATACTAATTACTATAGAAATTACAGTAATTATTTCAATAGATAAAAATAAGTTCTAATGTTTTTACTACAACTTTCAGTAATATCTCTCGAATTGGAAAATGATAACCTTTCACAGAAGTGAAAACAGTAAATATCACATATAGGAGAGATCTTCACAAAAAAATTTGGAGATCTATTACAAAAGAAGCT